CCCCCCCCCTCCCTCTATGCGGGTAGGTTCCTGCAAGACTTGGAGGACAAGCGAAGGGATGAGGAGGACGAGCGGTCTCGCAAGAAGGACGAGGCGAAGATCAAGAAGATGATGAAGGCAAACCTGCCACAGCAGATCCTGGCCATCAACGCAACCAACGACCCCATCCCCATCCGGCGCAGGTACCGGGGGGAGTGGTATGTACCGCACCTAGATACCCAAGGTCCAAGGTCAATATCTGTGCGTAGATACAGATTGCGCCCGCACTTTAACGAACCCAGGAGTTGAGAAACTGAGCACCATTTGTGAGCTCGGTTAAGAACCCCCACACTGGAACCTTCGTACTCCGGTTTATAACCCCTACACTAAAACCTATGTACTCCGGTTGAGAACCCCCACACTAAAACCTATATACTCTGGTTAAGGACCCCTACTATGCTAAAACCTATTAACTCCGGTTAAGAACCCCCACACTAAACCGATGTATGCTCCGGTAGAGAACCCCCCCACTCAAACCCGATGAAGCGATCATTCGTAGCATGACGCTAGGAACTACTATCCCCAACCTCGGTCGAAACTAGTAGCTCTTGAGTGCGGGCGTGTTCTGTAGATAGCCCACGTCATTTGCGGACCGTTTTCTTCTGTGCAGGTACAACAATCGGTGTGTTATCTACGCCGAAACCCAACGTCACTTTCCGATTTTTTTTCATGTTCTTTTTCCGTCTGCGTTTGTCTTATCCTCTGCCTTCCCTTCCCCCAACCAAATGTAGGATGGCCGGGGTGTTTCATGCAAACTGATTCATTTCGTGTGCCAGCTTGTGTTGCCCTGTTCCCCTCCCAACCAAATTTATTGCGGGTTGGAGTGTTTTGGCATTCTGACTCATTTCGTGTGCCAGCGAACGTTGTCCTCCCCCCCTCCCCCTGCCCGCCCCCTACATGCGCTTCTTAACCCACACCCTCCTCCCATGCTGGTGTTGCAGGACGGAACTCAGCCTCCCGGCACCTCAGGTCAGCGATGGGGAGCTGGAGGAGCTGGTCAAGATGGGTGCTCAGGCCCAGGCGCATGTGAGGGAACGGATGGAAGACAAAGTAACCAAGATTAGTGCTGAAGCAATGCAGTTCTTTGTAGGCTGCGTAAGATAACACACCCCCTGGGCCGATTTGCAAAGCTTGATTGCTTGGCGGGGAGAAGCAGTACCGGTCCCGAAAACGGCGGGAGGCGTTGTAACCGTCTGGTCGAGAGGTTTCCGGCAACGTACCCTTTGCCTACTTCGGCATGCTCCTCCTCTTGGTGGAGTAATCGAGGAGCTTTGAAAATCGCTCGGTCCAGGGGGGGCGGCTTCTTACCTCATGCAACCTACGGTTTGTGACGCCGCTACTCGTAGACAAGTGAAACTGTGACGACGGAGAAGGCACGTTTGTACCAAGACCAGTACCATGCACCTCTGAACTTGCACGAGGCAAGTAAGAGCGGGATAGGACGGAGACGTTTTGGAAGCGAGGGAGAAAATTAGATTCGACCCGCGTGGATGAGTCGACACCCCTCGTCCTGCTTTTCTGTTTTTTGTTTCTGTCTCCCCAAGGCTGTCCATGGACACGCCCCTTCCTGTTGTCCTGTTCTTCAAGCCACACGGAAGCTATGTACCAACACGCATCTCTTTTTTTTCTTCTTCTTTTTCCAGGCCGCCGGAGGGTCGACGTCTGCACTGCTAGGAGACTACTCCGAGGCCATGCCCACGCCTACTCCCATGCGAACTCCCGCTACGCCCGTCGGAGAAGACGTCGTCATGCAGGCGAGTATCTCGCCGTTTTTTTTTTTCTTGTCGTCGTTCTTTTCATTTTTTTGCTAATTTTTTTCTCACAACAAGTAATCACTCCCTCTTCCACAGATAGTTTCGCTTACGAATTACTTCGAAGTATTGTTACGAGCAGTATCCTTGATGCACGCCGCCCCTTTCATTCCTTTTGTGTTCTTTGGGCCGGCACGCGCAACAGGAAGCGCGCAACCTCGCTCTCCTCACCATTGGGCAAACGCCCCTGCTCGGCGGCGAGAGCCCTCACCTCCAAGAAGGGACTGGCTTCGGTGGCAGCGCGCCCAGGCAAAACAGGATGACCACCCCCAGCACCATGGGGGCGAGGGGCGGCGGCGGCGGCGGCGGCGGCGCGGGGGGGGGGGTGGGGAGCTCTACCCCCGTGCCGGGGACGCCTTCGACGGTGGGCGGGTTGACCCCCGGGGGGGGAAGGGGGCGGGGGGTATCCGGCGGCACGCCCATGAGAGACGAGGTGGGTGATGTTGTTATTGGGGTGGCCGGCTGAGCAGGGTCGGGAGGGGGGGATGGTTGTTGCCATGCCCGTGAGAAACGAGGTGGATTTCGTTGTTGTTGGAGTGGTCGGGTGAGGGGTGGGTGGGGGCACGCTCGTGAGAGAAGAAGTGGGTGGGGTGGGGGGGGAGGGGGAAGGGGGTGCTCGCCACTTGTTTATTTTTGTTGGTGTGCTCTCGTCGGTATTGGTGGGTGCAGATGTTGCTGACGTTGATGAGGATGGTGGTGGTTTGGGCATCGTAGTTATGTTCGTCGTCGCTGCCGTCGCTGTCGTCGTGGTTGAGGCGTGCTTGCATGGAGTAGGAAGTACGTGCCTTGTTGCCAAGCCCCCCTGGCCTGTATGACCCCGCCACTCCCAGCGGTTTGAAAGTTTGAATAAGCACACAAATCGCACGACCGGTTGGTTTGGTCGACCGGTTTCGTGGATACCGCTGTCGCCGACTGTCGTCCCTCCCCCTCCTCCCTCACATCGATAGGATGGACAGGATGGAGAAAACGTTGTCTGAGCCACCTTTGGCAAATTAGGAAGGATCGACTGGCCATCGACGATCGATCGGTCCTCTGGGAATGACAGTGCTCCGTCCTCCCTCTCGAGGACGCGTGGTCAGAGGTCCAACAGCTAAAGGGGCATGCAGAACATGAGCACGCCCTTTTGTAAGTATCGACTCAACCAACATGTCACTCCCTTTGTAAACGTCGATTTGCCGTATTTCTTGCCCACAGCTGGGGCTTAACGACGACGCGAGCATGGCCAGCATGTCCCCCATGGGAAGCGTCTCGTCCTTCGGAGGGGGTCCCGCGGGATCGAAGGAGGAGAAGGCCAGGGAGAGGCGCAGGAAGGAGGAGCTCCGCGCGAAGCTGTCGGGCCTCCCCGCCCCCCAGTACGAGTACGAGCTCGTCGCCCCTGACGTGAGTGGCTTTTGTTTTACTCCCTCGATGGTGAAGCTAATATTCACTTGTTGCTGCTGCTGCTGCTGTTGTTGCTGTTGTTGTTGTTGTTGTTGTTGTTGTTGTTGTTGTTGTTGTTGTTGTTGTTGTTGTTGTTGTTGTTGTTGTTGTTGTTGTTGTTGTTGTTGTTGTT